ATCCACCTTTCCTTTCTCAGTGCTTTCTATGTATATGTAATATCTCTTGTTGCAAAGTTTGCAATAATGGTCTCCTGTCAACAATGAATTGCCAAGGATCAGGCCTTGATCTCGACTTAGTACCTGGGATTATGCTTCATCCTGTGAAATTGCCAGTAGCCTTATTTAATGGCAATACTTAGAATGTCCTATGTCCTAATGCAGCCATCCCCTCAAAATACAACTAAGTTTTCAATATTTAGGCTCATTTGTAAAAATGGTTTGCAACTGACTGACTTCTCACATAATGTGTAGGACGTTTTTCAGTGAAGAGGGGATGAAATATATCACCTGGAAATGTAGTGGAGGCAAGTACAATTGAAGCATTCCAGAGGACATTGGATGATTATTTGGATAGAAATGGTGCGCATGCATATGGGGAAAAGGAAAGAGTATGGTACCAGATAAAAGAACTTCAGGTTTGATGGGCCGAATAGCATCCTCTGTGCCTTTTAAAAATTCACTGACTCTGCGACTGAACATTTACTTTTACCCAAACTATCCCAATACCTGTAACACCATTGTTAATCAGAAACCTATCAATTGTCACCTTAAACCCACTCGAAGACTGAGCTTTCACAGCCCTCTGGGGTAAGGAATTTCAAAGATTCATCACTCTGTCAGCGACAAAACAAGTTGAAAATAAATCATCGAGTCGTATAGTGTAGAAACGGGCCTATCATGTCAATGCTGACCGGAAAGCACCGAACAGCACAGTGGGAGTGAGAGACCTGAGTTTGGTGACCAGTGGCTAAGGTTGTGTCAGAGGTAGTAGGAACTGCAGATTCTGGTGAATCCGAGACAACAAGGTGCAGGGCTGGATGAACACAGCAGGCCAAGCAGCATCATAGGAGCAGAGAGGCTGATGTTTCGGGGGGTCTAGGCCCGAAATGTCAGCCTCTCTGTTGCTAAGGTTGTGTAATCTGTTCCTGGATTATTGCCTGTCGTTGATAAGATTCACAATTGCAGGTGAACGTGGCCCCATGGAATGCTCCTTCTGCAATGCACGGGAAATCGGGGACGCTTCCCATCTCCATGGTGACTATGTATACAGCAAGGGTGTTCAGCTGCAGCTCCTGATCTACCCCACAGAGCAGCTGGAGCTGCGGATGGACTCGCTGTGGAGCATCCATGAGGCTGAGAATGTCCTGGATAGCACGTTTAGCGAGCTGGTCACACCACCAGTAAAAGCTGCACAGATAAAAGAGTTAGGTAGCCACCAGGAAGAAGTGTAAATGTGGGCAGGCTGTGCAGGAGACCTGGTGGCCATTCCTCTCTGTTTTAGATACTGTTGGGGGGATGGCCCCTTGGGAAAGCAGCAGCCAGATCAGTAGCACCATAACTCCCAGAGAGGGTCAAAGTGTAGATTGTTGAGGGAGAAAGGTGAGGAAATTGCTGGGGCCTTGTATGAAATCTTTGTATCCTCTTTAGTCACAGGAGAGGTTCCAGAGGACTAGAGAATAGCCAACATTGTTCCTTTTTGTTTAAGAAGGTCAACCGGGATAATCCAGGAAATTACAGGCCGGTGAGTCTTGTGTCACTGGTAGGGCAAATATTGTAGAAGATGCTTTGGGGTAAGATTTACTCACGTCTTGAAAAGTATGGACCTATTGGCTTTGTGCGGGGAAGGTTGTGTCTCTCAAACTTGATTAAAAATATTGAGAAAGTGACAAAGATTGAGAGCAAAGTGATGGATGTTGTCTGTATGGACTGTAGCAAGGCCTTTGACAAGGTTCCTCTTGGCAGGGTGATACAAAAGGTGACGTTGCATGGGATCTGAGGTGAATTAATAAGATGGATACAGAACTGTCTTAATCATAGACAACAGACAGCAGTGGTGGAAGGGTGATTTTTTGACAGGAGGTCTGTGACCAGTGGGTTCTGCTAGGATCAGTGCTGTGATCTCTTGTCTGTAATGTATATAAATGATTTGGAGGAGAATGTAGGTGGTCTGATCTAAAATTTGCATTTGACACACACAGATTGGGGGGGCGCTGTGTATAATGAGGAGGATTGCCAGAGGATACAGATAGGCTGGAGACTTGGGAGGAGAAGTGAGATGGGCTTTAATCCAGGCAGGTGTGAGGTGATACATTTTGGAAGATCTGATGCAGGAGAAAAGTATACAGTAAATGGCAGAACCCTTAGCATCAACATACAGATGGATCTAGGCATACAGGTCTACAGTTCCCTGAAAATGGCAATATAAGTGGTTAAGGTGGGTCAAGATGGCATATGGCATGCTTCCCTTCATCGGTCAGGGAACAGTGTATAAAAATTGGCAAGTGGTGTTGCAGCTGTGTAGATCCTTAGTTATGTCACATTTGGAATATTATGTTCAGTTCTGGCCACCACACTTGCAGGAGGACTTGAAGGCTTTAGAGAGGGCACAGGAATGACTTACCAGGATGTTGCCTCATTTGGAGGCTACTGGCTATGAGGAGAGATTGGACAAACTTGGTTTGGTTTGTTCTCACTTGAATATCGAAGGGTGAGGGACAACCTGATAGAAGTTTACAAAATTGAGAGGATAGAATGGATAGTTGGAGTCTGTATCCCAGAGTAGAAAAGTCAACTTTTAGGGAATGTTGGTTTAAGGTAAAAGTTTGAAGGAGATGTGAGAAAGAAGTTCTTTACACAAAGGGTGGCGAGTGCCTGGAATGCGCTGCCAGAGGATGTGGTAGAAGCAGATACAATTACCATGTTTAAGAGGCATTTTGACAGAAATATGAATAGGCGGAGGTACGGACGATGTAGAGGCAAAAGGTGTAATTTAGAAAGGCGTTGTGTGTTAGTGCATGTAGGCTGTAGGGCCTGTTCCTCATGCAGTACAGTGTTTTGTACACCAATCCCCTTTAACTGCATTTAGTCCATAACCTACTGCGCCCTGGCATTATAAGTGCTTATCCAGATGCTTCTCCAGTGTTCCAAGAGTACCTGCCTCCACCACCCTCTTAGACAGCATTTTCTATATCTCTACACCTCCTGGGTGAAATTTTGTTTTGCTCTCATCTCCTCCAAGGCATTTACTCCTCACCATAAACCTGTGACCTCTGGTCTTAGACACATCTGCTACGGGGAAAGCATGCTCATGATCTACTGTGTTAATGCCTTTTTTTTTTATATATCTCAATCATATCGCTTCTCTGCTCCAAGGAAAACACATCCAGTCTCTCCTCATAACTGATATTCTGGTGAATCTCCTCTGTACTCTCTCCGGTGCAATCATGTCCTTCCAATTGTGTAGCAGACAGAACCGCACACAGTATTCCACTTGTGGCCCAAATAATGTTTTAAGTTGTAATGGGACTTTCTTGCTCCTGTATTATATGCCCTGGCTGATGAAGGCAAGCATCCCGAATGCCATCTTCACCAACGTGTCTCCCTGTGCTGACACCTTCTGAGATCCATGGGCTTGTACACCAATGTCCCTTTGTTCCTCAGTACTGCCTAGGGACCTACCATTCATTCCCTTAATCCTGGTCATAAATGACATTCTCCTTTACTTTAAAATGTGCTCCCTGGTTCTAGATTCCCTAACTGGAGGAAACCTCTTGCCCGCAACTACCCTGCGTATCACTAAGTATTTTGTAAATATCAATGAGATCACTATTCATTCTTCGAAATTTTAGAAAATCCAGGTCCAGTTTGCCCAAACTGTTGTCTCAGGACTGTCCTGACATCTCTCCAACCAGTTGGGTGAACCTTCATTGCATTTCCTCTGTGGCAACAATATCTTTATTGAGGCAAGACCAAAACTGCACGCAGTACTCCGGGGCAGTCTAAGCTGGCTACTATACGCTGGAAGCAAGACTTCACTACTCCTGGACTCAAATCCTCTTGCAATTGAGGTGAACAGTCCAATAGCTTTCATCATAGCTTATTCCAACTGCATATAAAAGTTTTAGAATATGATCTGTATTGTGAATGAATTGCATGGCATTTTCTGATATCTTGTTTTCATTTCAAATGAAAAGCCATGCAGCAGCTTTGTGTTAGTGACTTGGTTTCAAATCTAAATTACATCAGCAAGTTCTACACCATTTAAGTGCATCAGCTCTCCTTTTCCAATTCTGCTGAAATCACTGAATAAATAAAGTGAAGAACTGTGGATGCTGGAAATCTGAATAAAAAACAGAAATTCTTGGAGATGCTCAGCAGGTCTGGCAGCACCTGTAGGGAGAGAAGCAGAGTTAACGTATATGATTTTGTCAGTTCTGATTAAAGGTCACTGTACTGAAGGCATTGTCCCTGCATCTCTCTGTGGATGCTGCCAGACCTGAGTTTTTCCAGCAATTTCTGTTTTTGTTCCAGATTTCCAGCATCCACAGTTCTTTTACTTTTTTTAAAAAATTTTCTACTGACATTACCTTAGGTGAGTGGATTTACTACTTTTCATTCTGAGACTCGTCTTCCAACTTTGAAGGCTGCACTTGCTTTGCAACTGTTGCAAGCATCTCATTGTTAATGCAGACAGTTCAAGAAGTACCCATGTCAACAAGAATGCAGAATTGGGTGTTGATTAGTCTGTGTTTGCATCAAATGACAGTCTGGTCGCCTTGTTCCTGTCAAGGCCATCAGTTAAATTCAACAGCTTAAGATGAACCCTTTTTTCTTCAAACAAATTTAAGGAGGGCGGTTATTAAATTAGTTATTGGAAGGGTTTCATCTTAGGTGGTCATTGATGTTGCTGCATTTTCATTTCCATAATGTTTATGTATACTTCTCATCTGGGAAGATGTTATACCACAAATGACGTAGACTAAGCCTCTGTGATACATCTTGTGCAGTTTACTAATTATTAACATGCTCTACAGTATTGCAGTGCAAGTTCTTGCAGGCATTAGAAATGTTGGGATCACAGTTGCTTGCCTTTGCAGAAAAGGATATACATTAATTTCCTGACTGTGAGCAACAGGGAGAAGAAACTTCTTTTAACTGGCTGGCATGTCATGTTGTAGGATGGGATGTTGGAGCGACATGAATATTTAACCTGGATTTTGGATGTGCTGGAAAAGGTCAGACCGGCAGATGATGAACTCCTTAAATTGCTGTTGCCACTGATGCTCCAGGTAAGCAAAACAAGTGTTCTCCTTTTGTTTCTCTTAATGAAAGATTCCACACGTACAGTTGTTGTTTGTTTGATGAACATTACAAATGAATTGCAATTGTCTTAACCTCTTACTTAAACTGACATGAATACATAGGTAATTACACTTTGAGATTGGAGGGATGACTTTTTGACAACCTGTCTCAGGGCTCCACCCACCCACCCACCCCACCCCCCCCCCCCCCCCCCCAACCCACAGTATTTAATATAACTCCAGCCTTGCCTCCATGCTGCAGTCTACAGATCCATTCACTTCACAGTGGGTTCCAGTTGCTATTGTGGATTAACACAGGCCTTTCATGACTGGAATTGAATCTAGTACAGTGTATAGGATTGAAAAGTTCGTCACTGCTTGAAGGTATTAGTTCTATGTCAGCTGTTTTTGGAAGTTTACTTTGGTAATTAATTCCAAACTTCTGACAATCAATCTGTCCCTCATTATCAGTGATTATCAGTCTTGCTGGGTGGTCACATGGATGATTAGTTTAGGAAATTGATGTTTTTTTTGAAGTAACATGTGGCTGTTGGTGAGAAAGAGTGGAATGCTCAGTGCTCAAAGATTCAGTGCTGTTCTGATTCTGAGAGGGATGACTGCAGCAGCTGATGAGTTCCATTTCCCAGCACAGATAACTCTGACCTTGGTGAGCTGAAAATAATGTGATGTCTTTAATTCTGAGCTAATCTTTGTGTCTTTCTGTCAGTTATTTTAACACTTCGAATCCTTTGGGTGCCTGCATAATCATGATTTATAAATGTATAAATTGACAACAGGCTCAACTTGGAGTTGTGGAACTTTGTGTCACATTGAATCATAGAACCCCTACAGTGTGGAAGCAGGCCACTCAGCCATCAAGTCCACTCTGACCCTCCGGAGAGGCATTTCCAATGGCTAATGTGCCTAGCCTACACTTCTTCGGACTGTGGAAGAAACCAGAACACTCAGTGGAAACCCACACCGACATGGGAAGATTGTGCCTCCACGCAGTCACCCAAGAGTGAAATTGAATCCAGGTCCCGGGTGCTGTGACCACTGTGCGATCATGCTGACTGGTAGTCTCAAATGTCATTCATTAAACTGCAGAAGGATGAACTTTTGCCTGTACAGAACTTGCTGATTTGGCAAACGCCAAGAGAGAATGTAAATTGTGAGAAACTGCGAGACGTCTACAAGGCTCTGGTCAGGAGTGCGATGGAATACACTGTACTTGTGCAGCTCCAACAGTATTTGAAGCTCTCGACATTGTCCAGGACAAAGTTGCCCACTTGACTGCCACCCATCCAACACCTTTAAAAGTTCACTGCTTCCATCGCGGACATGTGTGATGGGGACAGTAAAGGGAGCTTTCAGTTTAAATGAGTAGATATGGCGTTACTGTGTATCTGGGTCCATGCTGTGCCTGTCCTAGACTTTTTGATGGAGACGGTGTCAAGGAAGCTTTACTTTTGGTTTACAAGGGTAAAAGCAGCCCCTTTCGTCTGCCATGCCTATTCTGACCAACAAACGCCAAACTATACTAATCCCAGTTACCTGTACTTGGCCAATAACCTACTGTGCCTGGCATTTTCAAGTACTCCTCCAGATGCTGCTTAAATGCAGTGAGAGTATTTGCCTCCACCACTCCCTCAGGTAGTACGTTCCATGTTACCACCACCCTCTGTGGGAAATATTTATCCTTGGATCTTCTCTAAACTGCTTAGCACTCACCTTAGACAGGTATGCCATGGGGGGGAGAAAAGATTCTCACGATCTATGCAGTCTGTGCCCCTCATAATTTTGTGTACTTCAATCAGACGCCCCTCCGCCTCCTCTGCTCCAGTGAAAACAAACCCAGCCTATCCAGTCTCTTCTTAGAACTGAGACATCTCCGGTTGTAGACATGCTCGCTGAGCCGGTGGGTTTGGTTGCAAATGTTTCACCACCCTGCTAGGTGCGCCTCCAGTGAGCGTCGGTGTTCTGTCCCGCTTGTTATTGTTTGCTGGGGTGGTTGGTATTAGAGCCTTTTCACCCCAAGTAACATGCTGGTGAACAAAGCTAGAAATTGCTGGAAAAACTCAGCATCTGTGGACAGAAATCAGAGTTAACGTTTTGGGTCCAGAACATTGTGATGAATATCCCCTGCACCCTCTTCAGTACAGTCATGTCCTTCTGAAAGTGTGGCGACTGGAGCTGCTCACAGTATTCCACTTGTAGCCTAACCAATATTTTTGAAGGTTGTAACGAGCATTCTCCTTACTCCTATAGTCTACGCCCCGGTTAATGAAGGCAGGCATCCTGTAGGCCGCCTTCACCACCCCATCAACATGTGCTGACACCATCAGGGATCTATGGACTTGTACACCCAAGGTCCTTTTGTACTTCCAGTACTCTGTAAGGACCTACCATTCATTGTGCATATCCTTCCCTTATTGGACCTTCCAAAATACATCATCTAACCCATATCAGCATTAAATTCTACCTGTAATTTGCTCTGCCCAATTTACCAGCTGATCAATATCAGACTGTATCCTGAGACCATCCTTCTCACTGTCAACAACACCACAAATGTTCAAGTCAGCTGCAAACTTACTAATTATACCTTCTGCATTCACATCCAAGCTGTTTAATGTACATAACTAACAATAAGGGTCCCAGCACTGATCCCTGTGGTACTCTGCTGGTCAATGGCTTCCAATCACAAAAATAGCCCTCTGCCACCAGCCTTTGCCTCCTATTTGCAAGCCAGTTTTGGATCCAGTTTACCAACTTGCCTTGGATCCCGTGAATTCTACCTTTTTGGACCAGCCTTCCCTGTGGGGCCTAGCCAAAAGGCTTACTGAAGTCCATGTAAACCACATCAACTGTACTATCCTCATCAAATCCACTCTATTAAATTAGTCAAACAGAATCTGTGCTGACTACCCCAATCACCCGCTGCCTTTCCAAGTATTGATTAACTCTATCTCCCAAATTTTTCCAATAATTTCCCTGCCGCTGACGTCAGACTAACTGGTTTGTAATTACCTGGCTTATCCCTACTCCTCTATTGAACAGAAGAATCACATTAGTATACTCCAGTCATCTGGCACATCACTAGTAGCCAATGATGCAGGGAGGATGTTCCCGATGGTGGGTGTGTCCAGAACCAGGGGTCACAGTATGAGGATTCGGGGTAGACCATTTAGGACAGAGATGAGACATTTCTTCACCCAAGAGTGGTGAGCCTGTGGAATTCATTATCACAGGAAGTAGTTGATGCCAAAACATTGAATGTATTCAAGAGGCGACTAGATACAGCACTTGGGGTGAATGGGATCAAAGGTTATGGGGAGAAAGCAGGGTTAGGCTATTGAGTTGGAAGATCGGCCATGATTGTGAAGAACAGTGGAGCAGGCCCGAAGGGCTGAATAGCCGCCTCCTATTTCTATGAAGTATTAAATATATCTGCTTGCTCCCCAGCAACCTCCCCCTTTGCCTCCCATAGCAGTTTTAACTGCATTTCATCAGGCACTAGGGATTTATGCACCTGTTCATCCTTACTTGTCAAGAATTGATCAGCTTCTGCCTGACAGATATTCAATGAATCTGCTTCTGTTGGTTTCTGAGGAATAGAGTTCCAAAGACTCATGATCTTCTGTGAGAAATAAAAATCTCCCCTTATTTTTAATTCGTGAGATCTAGTTCTATATTCTGTCACAAGTGGAAACATTCCTTCCACACATTCCTGTCTAGACACCTCAGGATCTTGTATTTTGAGCTGCCTCTCACTTTTTTAAACTCAAATGGACACAAGCCTGGCATGTCCAGAGTCAACTGGAACTGCCATATGAATATGGTGGCTGCAAGAGTCAGTCAGGGTCTAGAAATACTGCAGTAAATCTAATACGAAGAACAGGCAGGGTCAGGCTAATGAATGTTGCAGGATTGGTGGTCTGAAGTGTATTTATTAATGCAATGAGTATAGCAAGTAAATCAGTTGAGCTTAGAGCCTGGATTAGTACATGGAACTATAATGCTGTAGCCATTACAGAAACTTGTTGGGAGGTCAAATGCAAGAGGAAAGTACACTGCAAATGGCAGGATCCTTCGGAGCATCGTAATAGAGTGGGATCTTGGGATGCAAGTCCATAGCTCCCTGAGAGGGGCAGCTTAAGTAGATAAGGTGGTAAAGAAGGTGTATGGCATGCTTGCCTTTGTTGGTCAAGGCATTGAGCATGAAGGTTGACACGTCATGTTGTGACTGTATAAAACTTTAGTCAGGCCATAATTGGAATATTATGTACAGTTCTGGTCACCATGCTATAGAAAGGATGTGGAGGCTTTGGACAGGGTGCAAAAGAGGTTTACCAGGCTATTGCCTGGATTGAGTGTATTCACCATTTAGGAGAGGTTGGTTGTACTAGACTGATGAGGCTGAGTGGTGACCTGACAGAAGTACATAAAGTTACGAGAGTTGTGGATAGGGTGGATAATTGGAGTCTTTTCCCAAGGTGGACATATCAAATAATAGGGCATGACTTGAGGTGAGAGAGAGAGAGTTTTTAAAGGAGATGTACGAGGTAATTTTCTTTTATGCACAGAGGGTCGGAGGTGCCTCAAATATGCTGCCAGGGGAGATGTTAGAAGCAGATACAATAGCAGATACATGAACAGGTGGGGAATAGAGAGATGTGGACCATGTGCAGGCAGATGGGATTCATTTAAAATGGTACTTGGTCAGTGCAGAAATCTTGGTTGAAGGACCTGTTTCTGTGCTGTACTGTTCTATTTGAGTAACTCACCTCCTGACTCCCCAAAGCCTGTCCACCATCTACGAGGCTGAAGTCAGGAGTGTGATAGAAAACTCCCCACTTTCTAGGATGGATGTAGCTCCAACAACACTCTAGAAGCTTGACACCATCCAGGACAAAGCAGCCCACTTGATTGTCACTGCATCCACGAACATCCACTGCCTTCACCACTGCTGTCTTGAAGGACTGTTGAAC